TAAATCAATTCTTATTTTCAACCACACATTCTTCAATAAAATAATATTTTCCATCACATCAATAATTTTTTCTTCTTTTTCAATCACACATTTCCCATCATATCACTATTCAAAATCAATTCTTTCCCCAAAAAATTCCTACCAAACAAGCTGTTAATCCCCTCTTTCTCTTTCATGGCCACTTCGATAATAATAGTACACTAGTTAGGATGTGTTTGGTACACATTATTGGACTAGGCAATACAATGGATACAACATTAATTTGTATTTTTAAAATGTGCAATTAGTGTCGTTATGTGGAGTTTGCTACTTTCTTAAGGAAGTTGAATAGAATGTTTCGGTTGGAATTTTTAGGAATCCGGAGGAGATTCCGTGGGCTGAAGCTGGTGCTGAGTTTGTTGTTGAGTCTACTGGAGTCTTTACAGACAAGGACAAGGCTGCTGCCCATTTGAAGGTCGTATCTCGTGCTCTTTTTCTTTTAGATTGAATTGTCTTTGGGTATCAGTTTTATTACATCGTACTTGGTTTGCGGTGGCCATTTAAATTGCTATATATCATGTTTCACTTCATTTTTTCCCATGCAAGTACACTATATGGTTCAATCTTAGGGCTATTATTTGTGCAATTTGCTCAAATGATGTTTATTTGAAATTCTGGGCATGGATATGTCTTCCTGGTCGATAATACATTAATCACAATGCTCATTCATTTGGATCAGATCACCATTAGTTTACTGGGGATCGTGATTTTGTATTCAATTACTTATTGACGCCTTTCTCGTGGAGATTGTGAATTGTTTCACCTGATGTACCTTTTGCTCATTTAATGAAAACAGGGCGGTGCTAAGAAGGTTGTTATTTCTGCTCCAAGCAAGGATGCTCCCATGTTTGTCGTGGGCGTGAATGAGAAGGAATACAAGCCCGAGCTAAACATTGTCTCCAATGCTAGCTGCACCACGAACTGTCTCGCTCCATTGGCCAAGGTTTTGTTGGCATTACATTATTTCTGGCACGTTATTAAGTTTTGCACTTATTTTTCTATGCTAAACTTTTCTTTGGTTCAAAATCTGTAAGGTTATTCACGATAGGTTCGGTATTGTGGAGGGTTTAATGACCACAGTCCACTCCATTACCGGTGAGTGGCTGTACAATTGGTTATTTATCGTATTAATTGAAATATGAGTTGTGAGGTTCGGTCTTGACTCTGGCGTCTGACTTTTGCAATTTATGATATTGTAGCCACTCAAAAGACTGTTGATGGTCCATCAAGCAAGGACTGGAGAGGTGGAAGAGCGGCCTCGTTCAATATTATTCCTAGCAGCACCGGAGCTGCCAAGGTAACGTTTCGTTGCTAACTTTTACTGTTTCCGCTAATACAATAACGACAAACTAACATATAAATCTTGAGGTCAGTTATATGGATTCTGGTAGGGGAACTTCCCCATGAAATGTGTATTAGAATTAGCGTCATAAGATTTGACGAACTTTTGCTTGAATAATTCTTGTCCTAAATATCTTTGTTCTTCAAAAGAACAAGGTTGATTCGATTAGTTTGCCCTCCGATTAACTCTTGTGTGTCGTTGTGCAGGCTGTTGGTAAAGTTCTTCCGTCCCTGAACGGGAAGTTGACCGGGATGGCATTCCGAGTCCCTACTGTTGATGTTTCAGTGGTGGACCTCACTGTAAGACTAGAGAAAGAAGCCACATATGATGAAATCAAAGCTGCTATCAAGTGAGTTCTTTTTTACTGATGTTATGCTCAAAGGATTAATCCATTTTAAAATGAACAAGCTCGGTTCAATAAATTTGTAGAGCACGATGTAAACTGAAACTTATTTGCTCGGTTTTTCTCAGGGAGGAGTCAGAGAACAAGCTCAAGGGTATCTTGGGTTATACTGAAGACGATGTAGTGTCCACGGACTTTGTAGGTGATAGCAGGTAAAAATTGTTAATTTCGAACCTTATGGATTATATCTAAAATGCGACGAGAATATGTTTGCTTATTCAATCCATTGTTCTAATTCAGGTCGAGCATCTTTGATGCCAAGGCCGGGATTGCTTTGAGCAAAAACTTCGTTAAACTTGTCTCCTGGTACGACAATGAATGGGGTTACAGGTAAAAATCTCTAAACTCGCGCTAAACTTGAAATTTCTTGATCTTTTTCTGTGCGTGTAGTCTTACCAACATCGATATGGTTTTCCATTGCAGTTCTCGTGTTATTGATTTGATCCGCCACATGGCTTCGGTTAAAGCTTGAGGCTCTGAACAAGCTTCAAAGAAATATCATAATTTTCGGCGACTCTTAAAAGTTTTTCCTTTCCGGCGTCTCGAGGTTCTAGTTGTTTTTTAGCTGATGTTGAATAAAATCTAGATGCATCTGTACTGCAGCTCTGATCATGTTTGTCGATTTACTCAAGTCGTTAAAAAAAATTCTCTTGTGAAGTGAGAATGAAATTTTACTTGAAAATCTTCCCCTCTGAATTTGTCTGTTTCATGTGAATTTTCAAGGCACGGATGAATAGTGCTTTGGTGGATTCTTGTCTCTGTCGTCTGAGGCTCCTATTCATGGAAGATCCTCAAATTTTTACAATTTAAATGTTTTTTCCTTTGTTTTTCTATATTCGAGACTTTTCTTCCTTTTCGCTCCATTTTTTCTCCCCCATTTTTTCTCCCTAATACAACATTACTGGTGTTTAACATCAGTACATGATAGAAGCCACTGTCGTATTATCTAATACATCAGTAATTTCATCAGTAATTTCATAGTCACTAACGTTAAGCACCATATATTTATTCTTCGACAATGTCTTTCACATTTATGCTAGATTAACTTTTCTTTTGTAATCTAATGCTCTAGAGGATTATTATTTATTCTTAGGAGAATTGGCACAAAATGGTCCCTAACATATGGGATTGTTGTGCAAATGGCCCCTAACTTTTAAATCTCAACACAAATATTCTTAACTTTTCATTTAATAGGCAGAATTTGTCATTTGGATCGTTTTCATCCAATTTAAAATGTTAAATACTATAAAAATATTATAAAATAAAATAAGTGAAAAGAAAGATTGAAAATATGAGAAAAAAAAAAAGAAAAAGAAAAGACACCATATTCTATCAAGTGCTTGTCAAATATTATTATAAAAATATTATAAAATAAAATAAGTGAAAAAGAAAGATTAAAAATATTACAAAAATGAAAACACCCTTTTTTACGTATTTTATTTATTCAATAAAATTAAAGATATTTTTGGATAGTTTCCGAAAGGATCAATTGCAAAGTGAAATGATAGGGATGTTTGTGCCAAGATTTGAAGGTTATGAACCATTTGCACTGCAACCCCATAGATGAGGACTCACTTGCGCTAATTTTCCTAGTTTCCTTCACTTGGGGATGGGAAAGGATCAAAATCGAGCGGTTCGGTCTCCTTCGGTATTGGTTCTAGGAAAACAATAATTAAAATTGATGCTTTGAACCAAGAATTGATCGATTTTTGGTGCGCACCATCGAACTAAAATTTTTACACTACGATCAATTTTTTTTATTTTTTGGGAGTTGCATCACAGTATCACACCAAGCCACAACGTACAAATTAAGGCCCTGTTTGAGCCAAATTATTGTAGAATGAGAAACTTTTAATATCAGCAATAACCCCGGGTGTTAAGAGATAGAAAATTTGAATTTAAATGTTGATGTGATGGATAACGATCATATTTTTTATTTTAATGAGATAATAATGTAGATCAAACGGGGGCTAAATAATGAAACTTTAAACCAATCCACTTATATTTTTATTTAAAAAAAATAAAAAATTATACTCCCGAAACCAATTAAATGAAATTTATGCTCCAGTTGTTTGTGAACTTTTATAAAGAGAAAAATATCTTTAAGTTGCCTCGTGAACTTTGGGGTATCAATATCTTAAAATCAACGATTTTCCATTTTCATGTAAAATTAAAACTAAAATTCGAGCTTTTAAAAATAATATAAAACGCTAAAGAAATTGGACGGAATCGATTGGTTCCATGGATGAAAACCAATTAAACTGGAACTATTGAGAAATAACGAAAAAGTTTGGAACATAAATGAGAAAACGAGCAAATATTGGAGATTTTCATTGCAATCTTCTCAATCTCCTATTAATTTGCACAACTCATCTATGTTGATGGTTTTTGTCCATAATATTCGTTGGAAAGGAGTAAAAAGACTCTTCTACCACTTGTTGGGACCCTTTGAATCCACGTGTTTTTAAAAATCGGAAGAGATTAATGGAGCAATATGAAGCAATGATCGTTCATCAAACAAGAACAAGATCTAAAGTAAAGAAAAGAAAAAATTGACAGAGGAACCGATATTTTATTAAACAACAAATTGAGAGAAAATACAATTTTAGCAATTTCTGCTCACAAAAACTAAATAAAGAGTCCACTATTTATAGGGAAGATGTCCAAACTCAAAATGAAACCAAGATAAAAACAAATCACGTGAAATAAAGGAAACAATATTTTTCTAATATTTTTCCAATAAAACACGTGAACTAAAGAAAATAATATTTTTCCAAACACATGCAAAGAAGGAAAATATATTCTCAAAAATTCCTTCCTAATTTGGGTCACAAAATCTAACAATCTTCACATTGACACAAATTTCGCTGCAACGAAAGAAACTCCAAAACTTATCCACCTGGAAAAATAAGTCCGACTGCATCAGAATAAACCAATCTCTTCATTTAGTATCAAAACTCTTCACCTTACGAAAAACATCACATTTGCCCAGTGTCCACAAGGACACCTGAACCCAACCCCGGGTTCCCAATATTTCAACAAAGAATTCAACAAATACCAAATAGGGTCAAAGCATACCCTGTAGCAGAATCCATACCAAATGCTTGAACTGAAGGCCCCTTGCTAGAGCTGCCACCTTCAAACATCCCGAAAGCATGATCACACACATCTGAAACGCGGCACCTATGCTCTATGAGTCCTCCCCTAGCAAATGACTCAGAGCTCAATACGAAAGGTATTGTACCAAACAGATCTCTTCCACGGTACTAAACATGTCCAGATATCTCTTCACTTGTTTTGCGCGCCCCTGCAGGATATATAGTTGAGAACTCTTTCGTCCTTCCAGTACAACACGATGACCCCTTTGGACCTTCAAGACTCCGCCTCTATCGGAGAATGTGTACCCATTAGAATCTAGGGTACTCAGCGAGGTGAAATTATTCCTTAAATCTGGAACATGCTGAAGCTGGCCAAGAACTCAAACTGTCCCATCCAATAAACTCAATCCGACCCGACAAATTCTAGCAACCTACAAGATTGGTTGTTTCCCATGACAACTCCACCTTGCTTCACCGTTTCATATGTTTCAAACCAGACCTTATTGGGACACATATGGAACGAACACGCAGAATCTAGAATCCATTCCTCATCCGGCTTAGATTCCATGTCAAATACGATCAGCACCACATCTTCGCCATCCGTAAATCTCTCGGCAATATTAGTCTCGTCTGAATGATCAGATTGGCTCCCATGATTTGTAGATAAATTATCTTTACCATGCAACTTGTCGTAAACTTTCTTGATGTGTCCTTTTTTTCCTGCAGTCGAAGCAAACCTGATTGCTGAAGTTCACCCTCGACCTACCCTTCCGTCAATTACCGTACGAAAGTAGAGCTTCCTTATCCTTAGCTCCAACGATACGCTTCATCTTCCCTTTTGAAAATAAAGCGTCATAAGCATCGTCAATGGTGAGTGTGTCACGACTGTACAAGATCCTGTCCCTGAACGATGAATACGAAGCTGGCAGTGAGAACAATAGAATCAAGGTCAGATCTTCTTCATCATACTGGACTTCTAACGTTTCCAGATTAGCGACGATTTCCTTGAACACAGCCAGATGATTCTCCTAAGAACTCCCTTTTGCCATGCGATGAGAATAAAGCCTTTGCTTCAGATACAACTTACTCATCAAT